GTTACAAAAGTAATCTGTTCTTGGGGAAGATCACTACATAGCTACTGCATCAAAAATAGCTACGACAGTGTCAGTACCCTCTTCATTTCTCAAATTGCTCTGACTAAATTAGAAAGGGTCTGCTGGCACCCTCAGAAAGACAAGTAATTCTCCCCATCACAGGCACACATTGTCTGCAGTGGCACAACTGAGAAATCCAGATGTCAGATTACAGAAAAAAAACCCCAAACATCCCCTTACCTCTATGAATAAGGATTAGCTAAATCATTTTAAACAGCACAGTAAAACAAGATTTAGTCTTAGAAATCAGTAAGAGAAGACATATACTAACAGGAAATGAAAAATGAATATTTAATTGCATTAAAAGACATAATATTACAGCTCAGTGAAAATCTTTAATGGTGATCTTTTTTTTGTTGTTTTGCATTTTAGTTTTTGCAACTCCAGTTTTCCAGTTTTAAACACTGATGAAGTTTTCATACTTTTCTCACCAGGGTCATGAATCAACTGAAGTGCTTTTACTTGTAAGGCCTTAAAATACTTGGGTATTTTGACCATTTGGAACTAAAGAGAAAAAACTGTAAATGAGCTGGTACCTGTTATTGTTACTCAGAGGGAAGAAGTTGCATGTGAAGCTCTGTTGCAGGTGACTACCAATTAATTACCGTCCCTTTGTCGACCTTCCCTGTCAGTCTGTTGCAAGAGAACAGAGCCGCCTCCCTGCCTGGGTAGATAATCTCGGTGGTAATTACATGTGGTGCCGGTGCTCCATCATCCCAAACCAGCAATGGTCCCTCAGGGTCTGGGCACTGTTTTCCCTTTCCATTTCTATGAACTAAGGACTGAGCAGAAACAGACACAGTCCTATCAAAAAATCAAAAGTGCTTCAATTTTGTCCCATTAGGTGACATTCAGATGGAGCATAAGCTCCTTCCACTCCATCCAGCCTAAGCCTGCACCAAGCCAGAAGTTCCTGCAAACAGTCTGTAGGAATTCCCTGTGATCGTTTCTATATATTGGCAACAGCTTGTACTGCAAAGACAAAGACAACACTCACACAAAAATGTAAACCCCTTCCTTCGGTAGTTCAGAAGGCACATCTACCACAAACAACTTTCTTTCCCCAATAAATCTGGTGACAGGATATTCAGTTTTGGTTCCTCTTTCTTACACTGAATGGCAATGGAAAAATCACTGCCTGTACAAACAAAAAAGAACAGGTCTTAGTGCAATAATATTAGATTAATTTTCACTATACTCTGATACGATAGCAAAATTTTAGCACACAGACGGAACTCTCTGCCATGCAAAGGATCTCCCACAGAACATTTCTAACCACTACTTCCTTTATTGCTTATTTTTAACACTTTCTCTTTAATATTCAAAATGGGTACTTCCAAATTCGTTTTTGACACATATTGACTTGTTGACTGGGAGTGAACAAAAGATAAAATAAAGGCCGTATCAGAGAATAAGACCAGAGGAAATCCTCTGTTGTACACACGTAAGCACAGAAGAATAAACTTGCCCAGCTTGTAGTACAGTGACAACCCAGGCCTATTCATAATTTGACTTTTCAATTTTATATATTGCCTTATAAGACAGAAACATGTTAGAAAAAAACACAGAAAGTGACTGATCAAGCGTAAAAGTAGTAGGCCACCCTCCTTCTAATGAAAAAACCCTTTCTTTTCTGCAAGACAAGGGTTGAATTTTACATCCTATCACTGCCTCAAACAAGGAATAACAACATCACCAAGGTAAGAAAGGAGAACTCAATATTCATTTAGTCACTGTAGTTTTAATACTCATGGTAAGCAAAGGGCAAACAGAAAGATTTGACATAGCAGGAATATGACAGACCCTTTTATTGTTTGCCATCCAACTTCATTTCTTCATGACAGGCCTGCCAAACAAGAGCAACTAGACCCTGAAGATACGGTAATACATCAGCAGAATGGAAATCAGTTCTGTTTTCTGCTCTATTACCCTTCATCAATGACACCACGAGTGAAGGCTCCGATGACATCCACAAGTCCCTGCAGTATCCTCATTACTCTTTCTTTTGCTCTCTCAAAAGCTATCCTCTATAGTGAAACTTGAAATAATCTCCTTAAATACGCAAATTCAGTTTAAAAGTATATTCCTGGAGAGAAGGGGAAGTGGGAGACTGTTTTGAAGTAGCACTAGTTTTGGCTGTTTACAAGTCTACTAGATGAACATTTACAAAATTAAATAATTAACCTTGTAATAAGGGCTTCTCCTCTTTGGACAGATGCCAGGCATTATAGACCCTACAGTCACTGTAGAAACCACTCAAAAGGGTGCCAGAAATTCTGTGCATCTGTTTGTGATAGTAAAAGGACACTCTGTCCAACTCTGAAAAGTAGGGGAACGAGGCAAGCCAGAATGCAGTTGACCGTGTTGAAAATTGCCTGAGACATGGTTCACATATCTCACATCCTAAAATGCTCCATGGGATCTTTAAACAACTGCAAGTGCCTAGAAATTTGGGTTTAATTAAAAATTTGGGTTTAATCAAAAGAAAAATCACATCACAAATACTGGTTACAGAATACACAACCACATGAGGGAGAACCCTACAAGGCTGGCTTGAAATAGCTACCAATCCCAACAGAGGCATCTGAGAGAGAAAACAGTCTGGCACCTGGAAACCCAAATCATTCCAGAGGAAGTGCTACCATGGTAGGCTGGGTAGTGAACGAAAAAAACTGTTTAGAAAGAAGCAGAAAGACCATCCATCATCACAAGGAAAACACAAGTTATGAGCCCAGGAAAAGCAAGACACAAACTAGAGCCTGACTCCCTACATTTCCCACTTGGTGGTGTGGAAACTCATGCAAAGCCAACCTGAAGAAAACTTGAGTGTACACAGCTGTCAAACAAAATACTGTTCCATTCATCTTGAAGAAATAATACAATCACTCTTAAAGTCTTTTCCCCTCCTTTCAGAAAATTCACATTACTGGGGTTGGTCAAGTCCTTCACACATAACGAGCACTGCTCTATAAAAGTCTCCCCCAAAATTAACATCCCTGCCCCTAAGCCACCCAGGAAGTTATTTGTATAAGCAAGAAACGACCCCTTCTCCAAAATCTTCACATATGAGAAGCGCATCTCACAGCTCCTGGCAAAATCTGACTATTCCTGTGCTTTAGGACCCACTGAGCACTGCAATTCCGTCTTTTCCTAAGAACTACCCATCTATCGTGTATGGGAACAACTCCAGCTGTTTGTTCCAGAAAGTGAAAAGCACCAACTCGTGCTGTACATATTCCCTCCCTTACCCTCATCTCCTCTGCGCTCTGGATGAGAGGATCTGTGGCGATTTCAACATCCCAGCACTTGCAAGAAGGGCAGAAGCACAGTGGCACGGCAGAGCTGGAATTGGTTGGGTTGGTCTAGATTGCATTCAGGGTACCACCCTGGAGCTAGGATAACACGACGCCATCAGTGTTTAATGATGTTGGTATCATGTACTTTTAGAATTTCACTACTTACACAGCACTAGTATGTCACTCAACATTTGTCTATCTGGAGGCAGACTCATTCCTTTCTTGGGTCCTCTCTCCAAAGTCAACTACCAGCATCTTTCATTTGCTATAATATTCACTCCTAACAAACATTTATTCTTGTTAACGGTGAAGAAATAGGTAAATTGGCAGGAAAGAGGAACTCTGATAAATCCATAAAACTACTTAATGGGTGGGCTCTAGCCTAGGTCTGACTACGAACAAGTTTTGCCCAGGAACATAGTATGGTTCCAGATGTGATGTCTCCCTTAACGCTGCCAAAGATTCAGATTTTCTACTGTTCTGTTGCTATCCTGAGAAGCAGCTGTGGCTCACAGCTGTAGTTCTTATTGTGAAGGTAACACACAGAGTCTGGCTGACCCTGTGGACTTCAAGCCGATAGATCATGATAAAATTACAGAGTGGAACTTGCCAAAAATAGTAGGCTTCAATTAAAAAAATATATAGCACACTTTGCAAAAACTTAACAGCCCAAAATATTGCTCATAGATACACGTCGCTACTTTACTGACCACTGATATCATTCACAACTTTTCAGCTCACGCATATTTTGCAGACATACACATCTACAGTATAAGGTTATCACAGCCCTGATGTTTTCTCAGGTTTTCTCTGCATATTGAAAATTGCATGCATGCAAATAACGTAGCATACACTTCAATATATGTTACCACCACCACATATATCCCACTGAAGAACAATACTGCAAACAAGCTTTTATCCCAACTGTCCTACATGTCTTAACACAGAACATGAGAGAAGACATTTTGAGTTGCTCAGATTTCTGCAGCTTTTTTTATTCCGAAGTCTTCATAAGACATAGCAGTATCAGGTCCCTGTTTGAGAGAGTATCAGGCTGACTCATATCAAGTTAAACTCTCCTTCAGGTTAAGAACAAAATACCCTGACATGTTGCCGCATAGAGTCAGAGTGGCAAATTCCCCGGATTATAAAACATCTGTTGAAAAGCAATTCCCTATCTAAGGCCCAAGGGTTGTGTTTCTACACCTCTTATTCTCTCGTTTCCTCCTCCACCATGTACTACACATTTCTGTGCAGTTTGGTCTCTGATATTGCAAGTTGTAGTGCCCTTTTAAGCTACTCTAGCATCTCAAATTTATACAGTACCGGAATATATATTTGTGGGTTTAACTCACTTTTCCAAAAAGTCTTACTATAAGAGCAAGTGAAAGGAAGTATAATTTCTTACAGAGAGAAGCTTTTAGGGAACTGCTACACACTCTGCTGTGTTAAGGTTTTTGAGCAGAGGAAAGGCAACAGGCTTTTCATCTATGTTAGTGCTCTCTATTTAAGAATAGCAATTACAATGCAATCTCTCATCTGTACAGGTCTTTTGTGAACTGACAGGCGGCTTGTGTCTAAATGATCAAATAAAGCACATTCTGACTTGATCGGTTGCAACTGCCATAAAAATAGAGCTCATACCTACGTTCATTCGCTGCAAGCAGATGGTTGATTGCTTTTCTGTCCTTTTACGTTGCAGTCCTGTTTCCTTAGATCCTCTCTTTGTAGAGAGTGACATGCTGGGAGGTCAGTTTTCTGACAAGGTCATCTGCCTTCAGAGTATGAAGAGAACTGCATGGAAAGTGGGTTGGGCTATATTTAGAGTTTGGTCCAACTCCGTGCCAAGGTCCCCCCGCTGTCTCTCTCTTGCAGCACTGTCTCAGGTCTATTCTTGCAGATTCTCAGCCCACAGAACACATGAGGAGAGGAAAGTCGCTCTGAGCTACTACCGGATCGAGGTTTTTGCAATTCGCTAAAAACAAGCTGATCAGGAGCTCAGATGAGAACTCCTTAAATCCCTCACTCTTCTAGTACTTATTTTTCTTTATTCAAGTGGATTTTGCCTTTTCAAGTGAATAAGGAGAGGAAACTGCCTGGGATACAGCAAAAACCAATCTCCCGACCTAAGGTAAGCTTCCTTCATTTTTGTATTGTCATCACAATTAAAAGAGCAATTGATGATGAATGACTTGGATCAGATAAGCTTTGTTCTGGTATTAAGGGATTTTTTTGATAATGAAATTCTCAATTTCAAAACATCAATTTTCATTATCACTCTCTAAAGGAAATAGGAAAATAAAAGGATATCAGCATGTGCAATAGAATATACATTGTCTGATTTTACATGTTTAAATTAATGTAAAAAGCACACAGCTATGCCAATAGACTGTATCATTCTGAAAGTAACAGAAAAACAGATGTGTGACTATATGTATAATGATTACATATATAGATGTGCATTTACATGTGCTGAGTGATGTTTTATCCACATTATTTTGTACCATATGAGAAAGTGGTTTCAGGGTTGCAATATAGGGCTTGCTGCAAATAGCACAAATATTTAAAAAAAATAAAAATTAGATGAACACATACTCAAATCTCTTTACAATTCCAAAGAAGTTGCTCGGCTTCAGCCAGAGTACAGGCAGGATTAAAGATCATATTGAATTTGGTCTCCTTTCCACTGAATGCTTTACGTTGGTCCTGCATTGCTTCTCCTTTTAAAACCACATATGGCTGAACAGTTTTCCTCAGCACCATTTTAAACTGTTGTGATTCTTAAGGGGAAAAAAACTGGACAGAGTACAGCATCGCATGCCTGCCTGTAAGGAGATCCTAACACACTTGAGGTCACATGGACATCATGATACTGTGGTGTGGACTCCAACATGAGGAGATTGCTGTCATGTAAAGACACACTGGAGCCATGGATTTAGCACTGGCACACACACATACAGCTTCCTGCAAGGCAAACGCACAGCAATGGTAGCCTGAAGAAACAGGGTAGAAAGCTCCACTTGACCCAAAGGTCCAAACATCAATGTGACAGCACCAAAAAGTTCTTCATAACAGAAACACCCCGTAAAAGTCTCAGCAGAAAGATCTGAAGAAAGGCAGATGGGTTCTAGATTAACAGTATGCAAAGGACAAAAGTCACTAAGTCACTGGGAGTTCATCTAAGCCACGACAACTGGGTGAATCCCTGCACTTAATTCAGGCCATCTTTTCTTAATGTATCTGCTGGTTAAACAATGCCCTACATCAGGCTGAAAAAGTAAAAGATTACAAGGTGGCAAAAGTCTTACTTGCTGAAGATACTTCTCATTTTGGTTACACTCAACTCTGTATGAGATAATCTCATCTTCCTTTCCTTCTGACTTTTGTTTGGTAATTTATGCTCAGAGTCATCAGTGTTAAGCTTATTTGGAAGATATAATAAACACCATCCATTTCACAGAAAATACCTTTCTAGCAGTCCTATGACGCTTTAACAAATAATAGTAAAGGCTACATGCCATGGAGCCAACTTGGGCTGTGACATGTGATAATTCAGATTCATCCAGAAGGCTTCTATTGCAAGAACTCAAACGAGGCTGTGAAGGTTACTTATGTGCTGCGAATGCATTCATCAAGTTCATCAGTAAGTAAAAGGCTTCATAGTATAAAAGGAACTAGTGCAGCCTAAGATTGGCAACAACCTTTTATAAACAGTTGTGATACACTGATAGAAAAAAGGAGAAACAAATACATCTTTATCAATGTTTAAGTGGTCAGGTTATGCCTAAAATTATTGCTTAATGAATCAGCGTAGTTTTTGTGATACTGTGGCACCTCTTCTCCACTTGTGTGTGGGAAAATGTTATTTCCCCATCATTCCCATCAACGTTAAAGACATTGGGGGGTGGGAGTTGGCTTAAAATAAAGCAATATGGGTGTGACTAGCTTATAAATACAGTGTTCACGAAGCCCCTCCAGCAGAGAGGCAGGAGTGCTGCTGCGTCCCAGCGGCAGATGAGGACTGGCTTGTTTTGAAGGGAGGGTCATCACATCTTCCCCACAGGAGGTGAGCCTAAAAGGTCTCTGTCACCCAAAGCGGTGGAGGTTTGTTGGCTTACAGATGACAGGACAACAGCAATGGAAAATGGCAGTATCACTGCGATGATAAATATGAGCATGGCATTAGTGGAAGACATTACGGAGGAGCACAACTGAATGAACAGGCTTCATGTCTTACTGTAGAGAAACCTAAATCTGCTTCTAACCTCTTTCCAGTTGGGGTCAATGCTGCTTGGAAGGATCCTCCTCTTGTTCTCTTCCCTCCATTACAAATTTACAGCACCAGCATAAGCTGGCTTCATCCTGCTAAGGTGTAACCTCTAATGGGCATGATGTGCCCATTCTAGTGGAAACCAATACAGAAGAGAAATACAGAAAAAAAAATATTAAAAGGAGGAAAGGATCTTCATTTCCTCCCCTAGTGCAAAAAAGAAAGACTGAAGCCCTTTGTTTCTACTAGGGAGGCTCAGACAGGGCTGAAATCCACTCTCCTCACTGGAGGTGGGAGGGCATGGCTATATGTGTTGACTGACCTCCTGCCTAAGGTTGTGGATGAGAAGGAAGACAAGGCTTGGCTGATGATATATGCTGCCAGCTGGCCAGGCAAAGCTCCAAGGGGATGTTGACAAATTCCTGCCCTTGGCACTGTCACCCTCAGCTGACAGGTGTAAGCAAGGCCAGAGCCAGACGGCTAAAGCCAAACAGCGTCAGGGGGATGAGAAAGTCCCACCAACAGTCAGGTCTCTACTACAGCTCACCATACTTGTGTTCCTGCCCGGGGGCTCCCTCCAAACAACAAATGGTGCTGGGATTTTCCTCCCTCTCTGCTATCTCTTAGACAAATGGGACTGACAGAAACAAGCTGGGGTTTTGAGAGGAGTCAAGGTGTACCTCAACTCATCCTGAAACAAATACCTTTAGCAAGAGGCCCTGTCAGATGCTACAGCATCATTGGCACATGGTTCTGTCAGCCAGCGGGACCCAAGACTCACCACGACCCACACCATCATTGCATACATAGCTGGTGCTGCAGCCAACATCCAGGCAGGGACACCCAAAAGGGGATGGAAGAGACTGTGAGAAGGGTGAAGGTGGCACCTACAGAGCCAGTACAAGAGTATTTGGGTACAGTTCTCTGTGTGTGTGTATACGGAGAGCAACTATGACAGCTTTGCCTAAAAATGATGATGAGAATGAAATTAAACAACTGTAAGTAGTTTACTTGAAATATTATAAAACAGTGCGGAGGGGAATGAGGCAGCACGTATATACCCAGAGCAGCGGTAGTTACCTATACTTGAAAACATGCTTTCAAAAGTATCTAAAAACTGAGGACATACAGCTGGCCACCTGCACGGATTGTTTTCTCATTTTCATAGAGCTGTTCCCAAGTCCAACTTTAGTGACAGCTACAGAAGTAAGCTGAAAACAGAGTGCTCCAGTGGGCCACACGTTTCTCGTGGCAGTAGCGGAGGTACAGAACATGCTCACAGAAAGACCCTTCCGCTCCCAGGGGAGCTCGGCAGGAGCTGGGAGCCTGGGAAAGCACCAGCACAGCAATGGCTGCGCTTTGCTGAAGCAGTTTCCCTATGAAGGGCATATGCATGGCTTTCTGCTGCTCTCTGACATCTGCTGAGGAAAAGGATTATATGCAAGGCTAGACCGTATCAGTACCTTTCTCTGAAGATGAAGGCGGTTAACTTTAAAACAATTCCCAATGAAAACCCCACCTATACAACATCGCATAGTCATGCGGAAAGAAATAGTTAAACCCAGGATTATACAAAACTAACACAAATTTCTTATCTTCCATTACATAAGTCTAAATTCTTTCAATCACAACACATTCACAGTGATCACTGCTGGGGCTAAAATGCCACAGAAAGTAACCCAACAACACTGAATTCTTTTGTCTCAAACGTCAGAGAGTGAACGTGCTTAAGCACAGCTGCAAAACTGTAAATTACAATTTTACATAAAATGAAACTTGGACTAAACATAGTCCTGTTAAAATAAATCCTTGGAGGTGAACTTTTCCATTTTTCACTCATAACCAGCTTTTTAGTACACCAATCTGTTCCTCAGGCATTCATTTGAACAGGAGAACAGTGTCCAATCTCTAGCACACAAATAACAGTAAAAAAATCAGTATTTACAATATGGTTGTATTTAGCACAGTACTTATGGATTTTTCTTAACCACCAGTAATACTGCAGAAGAATACAAGAGCAAAGGATGAAAAGAATCATAGAATAGTTTGGGTTGGAAGGAACCTCAAAGATCATCCGGTTCCAACCCCCCTGCCATGGGCAGGGACACCCTCCACTAGACCAGGTTGCCCAAAGCCCCATCCAACCTGGCCTTGAACACTTCCAGGGAGG